TGTGGTGTTGGAGAAGACTCTTGAGAGTCCCTTGGACTGCAAGGAGATCCAACCAGTCCATCCTAAAGGAGATCAGTCCTGGGTGTTCATTGGAAGGACTGATGTTGAAGCTGAAACTCCAGTATTTTGGCCACCTGATGTGAAGAGCTGACTCATCTGAAAAGACCCTGATGCTGGGAAAGATTGAGGGCAGGAGGAGAAGGGGATGACAGAGGATGAGATGTTGGATGGCATCATTGACTCGATGGACATGGGTTTGGGTGGAGTCCGGGAGTTGGTGATGGACAGGGAGGCCTGGCGTGCTGCATGCATTCATGGGGTCGCGAAGAGTCGGACACGACTGAGTAACTGAACTGAACTGTACACACACACACCCCCCACAGGAATATTAGTCATAAAAAAATAATGAAATAATGCTATTTGCAGCTACATGGATGCAACCAGAGATTATCATATAGCAAAGTAAGTCAGAAAGAGAAAGACAAATACCCTATATCACTTATATGTGGAATTTAAAATATGACACAAATGAACTTATCTGAGAAACAGACTCACAGATATAGATATAGAGGACAGATTTATGGTTGTCAAGGGGGTGAGGGTAGAGGTGGGGGGAGGCTGGAAGTTTGGGGCTAGCAGATGTAAACTGTTATATTTAGAGTGTATAAACAACAAGGTCCTATTGTACAGCATAGGGAACTATATTCAATATCCATTATGGTAATAAACCATAATGGAAAAAAATATGAAAATATATATATATATATATATAAAACTGAATCACTTTGCTGTACATCAGAAACAATGTAAATCAACTATACTTCAATTAAAAAAACAATATACCTCCTATATATACTATTGTGCCTGGGTCTTTTCATTTTAAAAAACCGAAGATTCTGTATTAGTACATAAAGCAGTTAGTACATGTATTAGTACATAAAGCAGTTTTTTTACCAAAAAAAAAAAAAAGTTATTACAGTTTTTCACTATATGGTTGTACCCAGATTTATTTAATTAGTTTCCCTGATGGCTATTAAAGTGGTTTCGAATCTTTTGGTTTACCCCTCCCCTCCGAAAGCAATGAAGAATTTTGTACAGATATCATTTCATAGATAAGTTAGGTGGGTAAATTATTAGAAATGGCATTATTGAGCCAAAGGATGTGTCCATTTGTAGTTTTGATAAATATAACACTAATTTTAAATATATTTCAGTACAGTTTTTAAAACAAAAAAAGGGATAACTAGCTGAACACTAAATAAGGTAGAGATTTTACAAAGTCTCTATTTGATGCAATTTCCAAATAAACAGGCAAGAAAACAGATGCTACCAAGGGAAAAAAAAAATGATGTGTTCAAAACAGTTTTGTCACTTAGAAAAGTGCAGATATAATGTATTTTAAATATATTAAAATACATTTGTGTAAAATACAATATACATAAATAATATATTCCAGAAGGATTAAACATTTAAATGTTAGAGATGATACCATACAAGTATACTAGGAAAAAAGCAGGGAACATTTGTTAACATTGGGGTACCTCTTTGTACCTCCTGAGAAGGTCTTCCCAAATACGACAAACACAGAGAACAATATAGTAAAAGACTGATAGATTTAAGTACATAAAACACTTAGCACCATTCAAAACAAAACAAATAAGAAACACCCACAAATTTGAAAGGTCAACACCACATTACCGTGATGGGGAACACATGTAAATCCATGGCTGATTCATGTCAATGTATGGCAAAAACCACTACAATATTGTAAAGTAATCAGCCTACAACTAATAAAAATAAATGGAAAAAAAAGACACATGAAAAAAGAAACTGGTAAATATTCAGAACGTGCAGTTTTAGCACTCGTGTTTTATCTCGGCCTGGCAGCATCCTGGGGCTATGATTTCTGGGACCGTCACCACTCTGGGCAAGCTGCACCAGTCCTGACCACAGAGGCCTCTCGGCTTCCTTGGAGAGTCAGCGGAAGCCAAACGTGCCAAGCCACTCCCACTTTCACCAGCTAAGATGGAATCCCCGCAACCCTCAAGCGCACTGTGCTTCGCAGCTCAGTCGTGTCCAGCTCCTTACCACCCCGTGGACTGGCCCGCCAGGCTCCTCTGTCCGTGGGGATTCTCCAGGCAAGAATACTGGAGTGGGTTGCCATGCCCTCCTTCAAGGGGATCTTCCCAATCCAGGGACTGAACCCAGATCTTCCGCGGTGCAAGCGGATTCTTTACCGTCTTGAGGCACCACGGAGGCCCAAGCACACTGCAACCCTTACTGCTGAACAGCCCATGAAGATCTGCGTTCTTCTATTTCCCAAAGCCCCCACTACTGCCCTCTAGACACACTTTATTCTAGGACGAGCAAATGCTCCTCCATACTGACCTCTGCTCCAAGCTCTCCCCCACCTTCTTAAAGCGTATTATCATCTGCTGACATTAACTTCCTTTCAGCCCTTTACAATTAAGGCTTTCTTTAAAAAATAAACTGGGTTAAAAGGTGGAGCTCCACTTCTTTGCTCTCCATTTATGTTTCTAGATCATGGTTATTTCTGCATTCTCATTTAAAAAGCCAGTTCTTTAGAAGCTCATGCTATCTGTGGGAGGTCACATTGATTCTTCTAATGTTCGCTTAATGAACATCTACTTGCTCACCTTCATTCACCCATAAATTCTAACTCTGATGCTCTCCGCTAAGCCCGGACATTCTATAACTTCAACATCCACATAGACAAACCATGAATCACCCTGGTTTCAGGTTCAATCCCTGGTCAAGGAACTAAGACCCTGAAAGTGGTGTGGGACAGCCCCACCCCCCTACAAAAGAAAACTGGATAAGAATTCTGAAGTATCAAGCTAGGATCTTCAACAAATTCTACAATATAATGGGATACTTTCACTTGGATAACTCAATGAACCTAACTAAACCTTATGTCAAAAACCAGACTTATGATTCTTCTCCACCAAATTCTGTCCTCTGAGCATTCCCTTTCATAACGTGAGGCATCACCACCCATAAAAATGGGTGTATAATGTATAAAAATACATTAAAAGCCTAAGAGTCACCCTACTCTGTTATCACCCACCACATGCAATCTGTATCTATGTACTTATCAATTTTATTCCTCCTCTTTCTTAATTCATTCAATTTTCTCCACCACCATCTCCCGAGTTCAAATTACCTTCATTTCCTGTGTACTGTATTTCTTATCAAGTCTACACCCTCCTTTGCTCTAATTCGTTCTCATCCATTGCACCTATCTTTCTGAAACACAAAGTTAATCATGTCATTACCCCGCTTGAAATGCGTCTGCAACCTCCTATTGCACTTAGGATAAAATCAGTAGACAGTCCTGCATAGTCAGGCCCCTATGCCCTTCTCCATTCATATCTTATACTCTTGTTTTCAGCGTTTGAGCCACTTTCATTTTTTCGAATGCACATACCTTACTGAAAGAAAAGTCAAAGCAAAAGTCGCTCAGTTGTGTCCGACTCTTTGTGACCCCATGGATTATACAGTCCATGGAATTCTCTAGGCCAGAATACTGGAGTGGATAGCCTTTCTCTTCTCCAGGGGATCTTCCCAACCCAGGGATTGAACCCAGGTCTCCCGTGTTGCCAAACAAGCCATGCATAGGAACAAACTTCCTCACTAAACCCATCCCCACTAACCCTTTCTTTCTTCAGTTATCAGCTCTATTATCAGTTGAACAGGAAGATTTTCTCTGATGTCCTTGATCAGGTCAAAAACCCCTCTATTGTGTAAGTCCACAGAATCACAAAACTCTCCTCTCTTCATTCACACTTGTAATTCTACATGTATTTCTGTATTTGATCTCCCTTATTAGAATCTCACTCAAAAAAGGGCAACAACTTTATACCCAGTGCCAAGCAAAGGGCCTGAAACAGAAGTTGACCAATAAAAACTTGCTGAGTAAAAGAATGAAAAAATTAGGCCTCTTACAAATCAATTTAAAAAGATAAACACAAGATTAAGAAAAAATTAAAATTTCAATTTAAAGATAATCAATAAACAAATGCTCAAGCCCACCAGTGATCAAAGAAATGTGGATATAAACTGATAGTATTTTCATAACCATTAAACATATGAAAAGGATAATACCTAGCATTTACAAATACAGGCATTCTCATATTAAACTGATTGGGACAGTATAAGTTGGTAACACCTTCCTGGACAGCAATACAGGCATATCTTGGATGGAGAAGGTTGTGGGTTCAGTTCCAGGCAAGGTCAGGAAGGTGAATAATGTGATAAAGTGAGTCATACAGACTTTTTCGTTTCTCTTTGCATAGAAAGGTTATGTTTACCTTATACACACACACACACGTGAATATATGAATATATATACACACACACACACACACTATAGTAAGTGGGCAATAGCATTACATCTAAAAAACAATGTACATACCTTATTAAAAATACTTTATTGCTAAAAAAAAAAAGGCTAACCATCATCTGAGCCTTCAGCGGATCATACTCTCTACTGGTGGAAGGTTTGAAACATTTCGAGAATTACCAAAATATGACACAGAGACATGAACTGAGCAAACGCTGCTTGCAAAATGGCACCAACAGACTTACTTGGTGCAGGGTTGCCACAAACCTTCAATATGTAAAAAATGCAGTATCTGCAAAATGCAATGAAGTGAAGCACAACAATATGAAGTATGCCCATAAGAAAAACTTTCTGTAAGTCTTTGAAAATCTACTTTTACCCAATCACTAGAAAAGTACAAAGATTTAGGTAAAAGGGCATTTACTTCAGTATGTCTGTAATGGCAAAAAAAAAAAAAGAAGCCAGGCAAATGTCAAAAACTGAGAGGCTGGCTAAATAACATATGTGATATATCTACCTCACTGTAGCTAAGGGTTTTGTAGGCCATTTAATAGCAATGAAAGTTTTACACGGTGAAGCAAGTGAAAAAAGCAGGTTTTAATATGCCCTCTGCTTTCACTTAAACAATAAACAAAATACAGACATATAAATCCACAGGAAAAAAAGACTAAGAAATAAAACATACCAAAGTCTGGTGGGTATTTATAGTGGTGCTTTATTTCATTTACTTTCTAAATCTATGACGAACATGTTTTACAATAAAAGAAAATTATGTACATGAAAAAGGAATAGTTTGAATGATGATATTTATGGTTAACAAGAAAAATATTTCAGTTGCATTATAACCAATCAAGCAGTTCTCAACCTAGATAGCTGCTTATCAGAATTAACTATGGAACTTTAGGGCCCCAGCAAATTCATTTTGGTTTAACAACTATAATGTTATTATGCTGGCTTGAGACTCTCACTTACTGTGATGCTTTTAACAGTTCCTAAGACAAAACATTTTATATACTTAAATATTTTTAAATATTTAAGGTGAGGGTGGGATGTTCTGAGAGAATAGCATTGAAACAAGTATACTATTAAGGGTGAAACAGATAGCCAGCCCAGGGTGGATGCATGAGGGCTGGTGCACTGGGAAGACCCAGAGGGATGGGATGGGGAGGGAGGCGGGAGGGGGGATCGGGATGGGGAACACATGTAAATCCATTGCTGATTCATGTCAATGTATGGGAAAAAGCACTACAATATAAAAAATAAATAAATAAGTAAATATTATAAAATAAGAGATTAGGAAAAAAAATTGATTGATCACCTGGCTTCAAGTTGGCATTAACAGGTCTGGCAGCTGCTGCGGCCATCTGTTCCCGTCGAGGATCTTGATAACTCATTTTACTGATGAATTCAATTGCGGCTTCAATACTTCTGTTATTAGTTTTCTGAAGAGCTTGTATAACCATATCCTGGCATGAAGTTTAATAAAATTTACATCATATCATTAACAAGAAGGAAAGAACACTATAATTTCCACTAGAGAAGTTCATAATTTTGAGGAACAAGGCCTGAAGCCGTAATACTAATGTCCTGTTTGTAAAACTACTATGAGGCGGAGGGGCAAGATAAAGGTAGGGTATTAAGAGGTACAAACTACCATAGATAAAGTAAATAAGCTACAAGGTATAGCACAGTAAAACTATAAAAATCCATACAATCTCAGATTACTGAAAAACAAAACAAACCCTCGAATCCTTCAAATGTTTCTTTAATATTTTCACCTTTAAAGTATTCCTGTTTTCTTCTAGGGGTTTTCCCAGATACAGTCATAATAACATGCTTCTGAATTTCTCATTCTTAATTTCATTTTATATAAACAGAGATTATCAGATTATTAAAAACAGTATCAATCAACATACTGGAAACCACTCTTCTGCATCACGGGAAGTACTTTATTAAACACCTCTGTTGTGTTTATTATTAAAAGAGCTATGTTGTTCTGGTTCCTACCTTCCTAAGAGTTTAAGGAGACAAATACAGGACAAATGGTAGAGGGAAAACACTCAGACTTTATATGACTATGTCACAAAAGACTTCAGGAGACTAGGTGGTGTGACAGGAAAAAAGGACTTTGAGATCAACCGGAACCAAAGGGTCCGAGTTCCACCAGCCCTGCATTATCTTCTCATGCTTAGAAGCAAAAATACACTCCAGAGACTGGAGGTTTATGAGCCTCACTTTAGGGCTGAGCAAACTTTGGCAACTTGACTTGACATCTCAGAGCTCAATTTCTCTACCTGTAATTCACTCAGAATTGACATGAGGAATACACAAGAAGAGTATGTAAAAGCACAGAAGCACAGTGCCTGGAGCTCAGATATGGGTTGTTCTCCTGCTCTGTTCCTTATCCTTTATGTTATGTAAACATAAATTATACACTAACATGCAGAAAGTATACTGATACACATTTTTCAAGAGGGAGGCAGCTACTTACTTGTCCTATAGTACTTGTCCTATAGGATTTACTATTTCAAAAACTATTTTTAAATGAAAAATGGCTTAGTAAGACTAATGTGTTGAAGACAGTTAGGCAATCATCTTAGACAAAAGGACTAGAGATGACTGTGAGGCCAAGTAAAAAAGGCTGTGGCAGAGACTTGCTGCTTACTCAAGACCTACTCTTTCTTTAAAAAGTTCTTTAAAAAGTTTAAAGAGGATTTTGACCGAAGTTTTCCTTATACCTACAGGGGCCACATGACAATTCTGACCAATGAGACAAAAACACAAGGATTTCTGGAGGAACACTGCTATCCCTGATTTAGGTACTGGTCCTTGTTGTATTCTGTTTCTTAGGCAACAGATAAAAAGGTACAGTGTGGTCACATTTTATGTGATCAGACTTTGCTAATTTGTAGTGAGATACAAAGGATTAGTAAGTCTTACTTTATGTGCAAATTTAAAATAATACAAATCACTCAAATTAAAATTCATCAGGGAGGGCTTAACTTTAAAACTGGTTAAACCAAGTGAACTGCAAACTGTATTTATGCTGTTATCACATGGCAGTGCCATCTCAGTTGGTAAGAACACTGATGCCCACCATTCTCTTTCAACACTGTGGAAACCATATCCTTAAGCGCATTAGAATTTCAGCCTGTGATTTTGATGATTAATAATTATGCTGGCCTTTATTTTTTAATTTTACTGCTATATGTTAAAATATTTGTTACATCTGTAACAGTATCAACCAAGTGCTCCTTATGTGGGGGTATTAGTGCCCGTGTGAAAAAGCACCCTCAAATCAGTAACTTTGGAACAGGTCCTGTATGATACAAAAACATTATGTCCATATTGCTGTGCTTTGGTTTTTCATGCTTAGAAGCAAAAATATATTCCAGTGATTGTAGCTATATGTGACCCAAGAATACAGTGATCCTATTTAATATTTATTCCTATGAGGAAATTAATCTTGAAATATTTAAGGCAAAAAAAAAAGGGTAAGTGAAAACTGAATCAGAATTTTGAAGTACCAATTTAGGATCTTGAACAAATTCTGCAATACAATGGGAAGCTATCAGAAAGAATGATTCAGGAGGCAGAAGAAGTAAACTGCCATACTCTTTATATCACTGCAAATATAAATAATACCATTACTTCCTTATTTGAATAAATGAGAATTGATAAATGTCTAAATGTTTTTAGTAAAGCAACCTTGCTTAAGGGGCTACTAATGTCATAAGGTAAACAATTTTGAAATGTGTGATAGCAGTAAAGCTAACATCTTTGTAATGCAAAGCAATTCTTGTTGTTATTGCCAACAGATAAAGAATAGGGCACTGACTAATGCCTTACAATTCTTAAAACTGTCTACGTTAGAAAAAAATTTTAAGTTCCTTAAAGGTATGGTGGCTTCCCTTGTGGCTCAGCTGGTAAAGAATCCGCCTGCAAAGCGGGAGACCTGGGTTCGATCCGTGGGTTGGGAAGATTCCCTGGAGAAAGGAAAGGCTAACCACTCCAGTATTCTGGCCTGGATGGATTGTATAGTCCATGGGGTCACAAAGAGTCGGACACAACTGAGCGACTTTCACACTAAGGGTATGGAGCATTTTTGTTATGATTCCCTACCCCAACTGATGGGTTCACACATAGTAAGAGTTCCATAAATACATATTTAATTTTTTTCTTTTTTCAGTTTCAATAAAACTTTATTTATACAAGTGGCCAGCCCATAGACCACAGTTTGCTGATCCCTATGTTAAAAGATTCCAAATATTAGTGTAATGAATGAAATATACCAGATAAATTTCAGGTACATCTGCCAAATTTCTCTCATTTTAAAAACTGTGACTTTAAAAAAGTGACAATTTCAGCATGCAAAAATGGTTTCTGGCTCTGCAATAAGTCAAACTAGTTATGATGTGACTTAATCTGACATACATATTATCACTCAAGGGCCTTTATAGTATAGCCATGTGCTTTCCTAAACTTCCTCTTCCTAGTACTATGTAAGAGGAAAGTAAAAGATCAATGATTCAGCCTTCTCTCTATTCTCTGCCTTGTGACTAAAGGGTTAGGAAGAAAGTACTCTAAAAAAATCTCCATTCAAGCCATTTCTTTAATCCTCCAACTATTAACCAGGTCCTCTCCTCTACATATATTTTCTGGTGCAAATCCAATATTTTTAAAGCATTTAAATACAAAATTAATAGGAAATAAGATTAATCAAATGAAGAGAAAGGGCCAGAAAGAATCTTTTTTCTTCCTAGTTCTGTTGTAAATTTCCTGTTTCAAATCCATTACTATAATGCATACTTAGGTTCTCATTTTAAAAATTAAACACAGAGATAGTTGAAAATGTGGTCACTAGAGTATTAACAAGGTGAAGAAAATTTAAGGGTAATTAATTTTGTGTGGTGAAGCTAAAGGTAATTTTTAGTTTTTTCCTTATGTAGTTGAATTTTGAAGATGGAATAGATAATACTTTTAAAATCAGGAAAAAAGTTAATATAATTTTTAAAGAAAATGTAATCAATGCCTTATTATTCACATTTAGTTATAATTTCCATGGCCAGTTTTTACTTAGAATGGTTTCTGCCATTTAAAATACTCATCTGAAGAATATAATCACAGAAAAGAAATTTTATTAGTAACTTAAAACAAAATATGATTAAATAATAATGGCTATGAAAACTTTCAAAATGAGTTCTAAAAGTAAAAATATTAAAGTCAGTATTAATATGAACTGAAATTTCATCAAAAAACTGAAATTCTTGGAGATTGATCAGTAAGTAAATTTTTAGTTTTTGTGAATTTAAGATTTGATCTGAGAGTTATGTGAACATAACTGCTTGATGACACCTCTGACAGTACTTCCTTCTCTGTAACATAAGCTTCAGCTTCATATCCTGAGGGCTATCATTACTTCAACAGCCACTCAGCTCACCATAGCAACTATGACACACAAGCAGATGTCCTTACCCTGACCCCACCTGCAGCTTTCCTCACCTGCACTTTGGCTCTGACTTCATAACCTTTTAAATCTCAGAACCACAGAAAAAAATAAAGACATATTAATTATTTTGCTTCAGTAACTAATGAAATTGTGAACAACATTCTTTACTTGTAGAATGTACATATTTGTATGACTCACTGGAAAAGACCCTGATGCTGGGAAAGATTGAAGGCAGGAGGAGAAGGGGATGACAGAGGATGAGATGGTTGGATGGCATCACTAATTTGATGGGCATGAGTTTGAGCAAGCTCTGGGAGTTGGTGATGGACAGGGAAGCCTGGTGTGCTACAGTCCAAGGGCTCACAAAGAGTCAGACATGACTGAGCAACTGAACTGAACTGAACTGATGGTAGTTGGTGGTTCAGTCGCTAAGTCGTGTCCAACCCTTGCGACCCCATGGACTGTAGCCTGCCAGGTTCCTCTGTCCATGGGATTCTCCAGGCAAGAATACTGGAGTGGGTTGCCATTTCCTTCTCCAGGGGATCTTCCCAACCCAGGAGTCAAACCCAAGTCTCCTGCATTGCAGGCAGATTCTTTAGGGACTGAGCTACCAGGGAAGCCCTACATATTTGTATACATACATAAATTCTCAAAGGCAACATTTAGGCAGGAGATCACCTAAAGTGCTACACAGTGTAAGGTAAGAAAAATTCTTTTGTTTTTAACAATGCTTACCTCATCAAATCCAGCAGCTTGCAAGTCTTGAAGCATTTGTGGATTAACTTCTGAAGGACTTCGACTTGTTTCATTTGCAAATGGTTGTAGAGAGTTTCGAATTTCCAGCAAGGCTTTATGATGCATCCCAAACTTGGGGGGATTTCTGACTTGCCGAGGATCTTCAGCTGACATTTTACCCATGTTTTGCTCAGCCTTAGCAGCATCTGATGGTTTGGATAAGTTCCTAAGGGATTCCCGAATTTCTTGCAGCATCTGCCGACTGCTGCCAGTGTAGTTACTGGCAGGAAAGGTCTTAGGCCTCATTTGTCTATATCCTTCCGGCTTTTCACTCCTCTTCATGAAAACATCTATATGTATAACCCACAAAAAAGACTTCTGTAACAGATACTGGATTCAGAGCTTTCCCTTGAGCAAAATCTTTTGCAGAAGTCCCCAGGAATGTTACAATTCTTTAAAATCTAAATAAAAGAAAAAAATAAACAAAGCTATAAAGTGACTGACTGATAAAGCAGTGCCATGCTCAGTAGGTATCCCTTTATCCAAGAGGTATACCTTTTAAGACCACAAGTAGATGCCTGAAACTTCAGACAGTACCCAACCCTATATATACAGTAGACCTCTGAACAACATGGGTTTGAACCGCATGGGTCCACTCATGTGGATTTTTTTCAACAAATAGGTATTACAGTACAACACAATCTGGTGGTTGGTTGACTCCAAGGATGCCAGACAGAGGGCTGACTAAAGTTATATTCAAATTTTCGATGGCACGAAGGGTCGACACCCAGCCCCCGAGCTGTTCAAGAGTCAACTGTACTATGTTTTCTCCTATACATACATAACTATGATAAAGTTTAATTTAGTAATTAGGCACAGCAAAAAAATTAACAACTAATAATAAAAGAGAACAACTATGGGAATTCCTTGGCAGTCCGCTGGTTAGGATTCTGTACTCTCATTCCCCCGATGCCTCAAGTTCAATACCGGGTCAGGGAACTAACATCCCACAAGCCATGTGGGCCCCCCACTCCCTCCAAAAAGATTTATAACAACATACATGTAACAACATGAATGTAGTTTCTCTCTCAAAATACCTTACTGTATAAATGTTATGTCTTAACTAAGCACATGTCATATACTGTGGTGATAACTTTCACAGTTTGAGGTGCAACAGCAAAACTAGTACACATTTCTGTTTTTCTTCTGCACAATCACAATTTTGCATATAGAAGATTTGTTCTTATGGTAGATCTTAAAGTCTCAGCACAGATTTTTTTCTTATTAAGCTGAGAACTTTCACATTAAACAAGTGCTTGATGGCTTTTCTTTGGCATATCTGAATTGCCAGCATCACTACTCTTGTGCTTTGGGGCCATTACTAAGTTCTCTCAGTATCTAGGTTGCATTTCATTTACAGCCATCTAGGCATTCCTTTAGTTTGGGTTTCAACTCCAAGTTAGCCATCATTTTATTATTATTTACCATTCCAAAGATGGTTGTCCTTAATAGAGAGGAAAAAAACAAAATAGGAATAGTTTTGCTTCTCTATGTCAAGACACATTTGCCTTCCACTCCCCTAACACAGAAACTGGTAAATATAGGCAGTGCAGAAGTATCTGTTAAACTAATAAATGCAAGTGATTTACTCCTTTTTACTCTTAAGAAAATATAATTTTGTTTCTTTAAATTATTAAAAAAAAATTCACCCTACTGAAAAAATTCAAATACCTTGTAATTATGTAAGGTTAGAAGTCCCTCATAATTCCCTCCCTCAGCGATTCCGAATCGCTGTAGTAGGCTGAATAATAACATCCCAAAAGCTAAACACTTCCTAATCCCTGGAATCTGCAAATGTTATCTTATTTGGAAAAAGGGACTTTGCAGATACCATTAAAGGATCTTCAAATGGGAAGATTATCACAGATTATCCGGTTGAGCAAGTACACGCATGAGAGGCAGGGGGAGATTTGATACACAGAAGAGATGGAGCCAATGTGACCACAGAGGCAGGGACTAGAGGGTGCAGCCAGAAGCCAAGGAATGCCGGCAGCCAAATGGAGATGGAAATGACAAGGAACTGCTTTTCTCCTAGAACCTCTGAGGAACAGTGGGCTCACCGATGATTTAATTTTGGGCCAGTGATACTGATTTTGGAATTCGTGCCTCTAGAACTGTAAAAGCATGCTGTTTTAAGCTTTCAGTTTTATAGTAATGTGATTGGGTTGGCCCAAACCCAAACTAACTTTTGGGCCAATCCAGTATATAAGACAAAGGAAACTAATACAATCACTATTTTTTAAAATCACTATTATTAATAATACTGCATATTATAATATTTTACTCAATCAAAATGGGATCACAACACAAAAAAGACATTATTCTTTTACCTTATCATCTGAATTTACAAGAAAGGAACATCATGTTGACCAAACTGAAATGACCAAAGAACTCTTTCCTCCACAGCATTTTATGAAATTGGTGCTCTGTGTACTATACTTTAGAAAATGCTGAACCAGAGAGATTCATTCTAGTCCTATATTTACGAAGGACTATATTTAAAGGTGTGTCTCATCAAGGCTATGGTTTTTCCAGTGGTCATGTACGGATGTGAGTGTTGGGACTATGAAGAGGGCTGAGCGCCGAAGAACTGATGCTTTTGAAATGTGGTGTTGGAAACGTCTCTTGGGAGCCCCGTGGACTGCAGGGAGGTCCACCCAGTCAAAGGGAGATCAGTCCTGGACGGGCACTGAAGGGCTGACTGCAGGGAGGTCCACCCAGTCAAAGGGAGATCAGTCCTGGACGGGCACTGAAGGGCTGACTGCAGGGAGGTCCACCCAGTCAAAGGGAGATCAGTCCTGGACGGGCACTGAAGGGCTGATTGCAGGGAGGTCCACCCAGTCAAAGGGAGGTCAGTCCTGGACCTTCACTGAAGGACTGATTGCAGGGAGGTCCACCCAGTCAAAGGGAGGTCAGTCCTGGACCTTCACTGAAGGACTGATGCTGAGGCTGAAACTCCAGGGCTTTGGCCACCTGATGTGAAGAACTGACTCCTTGGAAAAGACCCAGATGCTGGGAAAGATTGAGGGCAGGAGGAGAAGGGAACAACAGAGGATGGGATGGTTGGATGGCATCACCGACTCGATGGACGTGATTTTGAGCAAGCTTCAGGAGTTGGTGATGGACAGGGAAACCTGGCATGCTGCAGTCCATGGGATCCCAAGGAGTCGGACACAGCTGAGCGGCTGAACTGAACTGATATTTAACTCTGTACTTTAGCAATTACTCAAATGTAGTTACTAACATTCCTAACATCCAAGTGAGTGCACAAGTCATAGAAATGGCTGAGTTCTGGGATATGTGTAATAATGTGTTTTAGGTTTACATAAATGAATAATTAGTTTACACTTTTTCATATACACATTGAAATATTATACTTGTGAATAAATATGATGCCTGGAACTTCAAAATAATATGATTTTATGATGATTTGGATGAAACAAAAGTAGTGATAAACTGATGATTGCTGTAGCTGGGTGACAGGTACTTGAGAGTTCACTGTACTATTTCCTCTACTTTTGTGTACACTTGAATTTTCCAAAACAGAAAGTTAAAAAAGAAAGAAAAGGAAATGACTCTGGATATTGGAATGGTTCTGATACAAATTATTCTTATTCAAATACAAAGTACACTAAAACACACAGGATTTCTTTAAAGAACCTATCTATTCCATGTAACAATATCGTTTCAACATTAGCTTTTCAAGGAAAATAACAGAAACATTTTTTAATTAAAAAAAAAACCGGAATATAATTGCTTTACAAAGTTTCTGTATTTAAATGTTCATTTCAACCACAAGATGATGTGCATCACTGACTTCAGAAATGGTGAAATGGAGGAAATATGGCATATGTTAATTTTCAATCACTGTTTATTCATCTCTGTGGCAGAGACTATACTGACATACTGCCCTCTATTTCCCAGATTAGTTGCCAAAGCCTTGCAAGTAGATGTCTGTGAGTCAATTCTGGGCTGAGGCAGTTGAAAGCTGGTGAGGTTCTCCATCTGCCATTTTTCTGCTTCAGTGACAATCTAGGTGACATTTTGAGATGGTAGCTTCCTATTTATGGAGGCACTGTAGGTCCCTAAGCCACTGAATGACTTAGAACTGACCCCCACGGGGCTCTGTGTGAGCAAGATAGGATCTCTGATGTGTTAAGTCATTGATTATTTTGGGATTTGTTACCACAAAACAGTTTAGTATTATGTGGCAATAAAGACCATCCAAAACAAGCAGAGTCTATTTATTCAGAGCTTACTACAGGAAGGCAGTTAGCCACTATCACTTGTGTTTAGCAGAGACTCAAAGGCAGGCATGGGAGTGAAAAAACTTTATACTGAAAAAAGAGGGAAGACTTCAGGAATGCTCTACCACAGGGAAGTTGGAGGCCGGCTAACTAGAAGTACAGCATCCTGATTGCTTTGGGAAGCATATTTGGTTTCTCTGCTTGGTCCTGAGGCAAGGTGGCAACTACTGATCAAGACTTGACTCTTTGGGACTACTGCCACTAAGACTGTGCATCCCAGTTCTGTTTTCACATATGATCTGGCCACTGTGTATCTGTATACCTAGTCTCTCATTATCCTAATACAGAAGTTGATACCTAGAAGTGAGGTGCTGCTATAACATAAACATAATATGGTACTGGCTAAGTGGTCAGGCTGAGGGCTTCGAGGGAACTGATACTGGAGGCTGGACAAATGGAGAACCATGTTTCACAGTAGCAAAATATTTGATAAAGTGATTTGCCTGTTATAACTTACAAGGTAACAAGGAGCCCTACTGAACTTGTAGTTCCACGAAATGAGTTTGGAAAAGAGAATCTTAGAAATGTATGTAGGTTGCTATTGGCTATCTGGGAAAGCATTATAAATAAAGGATAATGTCATGAAAGCAGCAGCTTATTTGTAAACAAAAATAGAAAGGGATAGAGTCCAGAAATTTAAAGTCTTGCAGAACTGGAAAAGCAGCTTGCTTCTAGATTGAAACACGAAGGGACAGAAGTGAAAGATTTTGAACACAGATGCTCACTGAAACCTCTTAGCTACCTAAAGTACCTCAGTGGCTTAAAACAAACAACAACAAAAAAACCAACATTAAGGGTATGGTCTTCCCTCAAATAACCAATTGAGAAGAGAAACGAGAGTTCTTAAATCTTTGGATGAGGTTCCTAACACATGTGAACTTTTGTATGGTTACTGACACATGGAACTGACTGGAACTAAACACATCAGAGGCTTTCTAACTTTGAGGAAACTGTTTTGTTAACCATTCAAGCTCAAACGAAAAAAACTTTCAGCTCTTGGGCAACAAAACAAAAACCCTTGGGCTCTTAACTTCTTTGAGCAATAACTTAGTCAAAAAAGATCTGCACCTTCCAAAGAGGAATATTTCCCCAAA